ACTAATAATTGACGGCTGTACTCGCAACTAGTATCGGATTGTCGATGCCACAGTAAAGATCAAAGGACTGTACGCACGCGCTATGTTCGAGAGCGGAGATGTGCGTCCTTTTGTTAAATTACCTTGAACATATAAATTGCACTTAAACATCATTGACTATTATTGACGAATTTCTTTACAAATAATACAATTGTTCCCGTCCTGGCAGTGGTACCGTTTCATCTTATAACTTTCATGATAAATATTATTCATTTTGTTCTTAAATAGTGAAATATTAGCACATGCTCTTACATTGCTTGATATGTTCTTCCACACCTTAGGCCCTATATACGAGATTCCTTGTCGGCCAACATTTGTGCGTTTTAAGTCGATAACAAGGTTTTGCTTATATCGTATTATGATTATGGTACGAGTCAAGTGTACGGAACAACAAATCAAAAGATTCTGGTAGTAAACCCTTATCATATAAAAACATTAAGTTCGCTACATTTTTTTCGTATAGATCAAATATGTTTAAAGTATTGGTTTTAACAAAAAGTTGAGCAGATGGGTGTAGATAATGTACATTACATACGATTCTAAGTGCTTTCTTCTGTAATACATGGATTCTATTTAAGTTTGTCATGCTACCAGAACCCCATATCGTGATCCCATTCGTTATAATAGGAAGGACAAGAGACTTATAAATAGTAAGCAGTATGTGATATGGTAGCAGATTTTTAAGGAGATTCATTGCTCCAATAATTGCAGACACCTTACTAGCAATAACATTTACATGTTGAGAAAAATTAATTTTTCATCAAGAGTGATACCAAGGAATTTAATTTTGTCTACTCTCTGAATAATGTCCTGGTCAATGACGAGTTCGACATGCGCTGTGTTAATAATTGTATTTGTACCACTAAACACCATCAATTTAGATTTTTTGGTATTAACAGTAAGCTTATTTGCTTTAAACCACATATTTAAGCGTTTTAACTCCTCATTCATTATATCGAATGCTTCATTTATGTTACTATGTTTTAAGAAAACATTGGTATCATCTGCAAATGTTATTAATTGAGTTTTGGTACATACTGAAGGCATATCATTGACAAATAGTAAAAATAACAATGGACCCAGGATAGATCCCTGGGGAACTCCATACTTTACCAACTTTCTATCAGACTGTATATTATCTAAAGCTACAGATTGTTCTCTTCTACTTAAATAACTACAAAACCATTTAAGTACAAGACCTCTGATGCCACAATAAGGTATTTTTGTAGAAGAACTTTGTGATCTATCAAATCAAACGCCTTAGATAGGTCGAGAAAAACTCCAACAACAAAAAATTGGTTGTCAATTGCCGTTGTTATTTTCTCAATTGTCTGAATGAGGGCGTGATTTGTAGAGTGTCTTTCTCTAAAGCCGTATTGTGTTTCATTCAGGATTTTATACTTATTTAAGAAAGAAACCGTTTGGTCATAGACAATTCGTTCATACATTTTTGACATACATGACAATATAGAAATAGGCCTGTAGTTACACTTGTCATCCCTTGCTACACTCTTTGAAAATTGGTATAGTTTTTGCAAGTTTAAGCTTCTCCGGGAAAATTCCAGTTGTGAGTGATAAGTTAATCATATAAGTTAGAGGTACAGCTAATATATCTGAATTAATTTTTAACAATTTTGCATCAATATCGTCAAGACCAGGCGATTTGTTTGAGTTTAAATTAGATAGATATTTTTTTAATATCATACTCAATTAAAGGAGTAAAAAGCATAGAATATTGAACACTATTTTTATTCATATAATCCATAGGATTTGTATCATGGTATATTTTATTTGCTTTTTCGGCCATTTTTTCGCCTATATTAATATAGTAGGAATTAAATGCTTCCGCCTTATCAGAGGGTGCTTCAAATGGCTTGAGAATTTAATTTCATTCGTTCTGGGAGGCTCGATGTTTTGTTTCTTCCCAAAATAGCATTAATAGCGTTCCATGTTTTTTTTATGTTGTTTTTTCGTTTTTCAAAATCGTCTTTGTAGTAATTAATCTTTCTTTGTCTAATAATTGTTGTTAGCCTATTTTTGTACTTCTTATACTTTAATTTATTCGCATTTGTTGGATGTTTTTTATATTTAATATACAGTTTTTCTTTAGTGTTTAGTGACTTTTCGATACCATTTGTCATCCAGGGTGATCTTATTATATCGGTCTTTAATCTGATTTTTTTAAATGGAAAACAGCGATCAATCAGTGCTGTAAAAGATTCTGTAAATGAATTATATGTTTCATTAGCATCATTACTGTTAAGAACATTTTCCCACAACTGATTTTCTAACTCATTTCTGAACATTTGTGTTTGTTCCGGTGAATAATTACGTTTGTAAATATATTTGTTAATTTGACTTTTGTTGTGTTTTTGTGATTTGTCGATGCTTATTATTGGGCAATGATCAGATATATCGCTAAATAGAATGTTTGTATCAATACATTGAATATTATGAGAGTTCGTATATATATTATCTATTATAGTTTCAGTTTCATCTGTTATACGTGTGGGCTTTACTAAGGGTACGAATGATTCAGAAATCATAAAGTCAACATGCTCTTGTACGTTACTCACAGAATTATACATATTTAGGTCAATATTATAGTCACCCATAAGATAGGTTTGTTTGTTTTCGTTGTTACATTTATGCATGAGCTCGCTCATTTGAGTGTTAAACGTAGGAATATCAGATTTAGGTTGTCTATATATGACACCACAAATAATTGTCCTATTGTTTATATCAAGTTCAATAATAATACTCTCAGCAACATGTAATATCTGGGATAAGTCATTTCTTAGTCGATATGATAAATTGGATTTGGTATATAGGGCAACACTACCACCTCCTTTGTTATCCCTATTGTTATATATAGCTGTATAATTATTCAATTGATATAATCCAGTGAGGTGTTTACTAGAGAGCCACGTCTCAGTCAATCCAATTATCGAAAATTCGTATTCGAATCGAGATAAGTAATTTGCTAATTTGTCAAATTTTCTTATAATGCTTCTGCAATTTAGAGAAAAGATTGAAAAATAACCAGAGTCGCACAAGTCATCGCAATGTTTGCTTTTGAAATCGTCAATATCCATATAGTTATTTTCGGTATAATTTGGTATAATTATACCGAAGCTGTCATCATCATTATTAAATTGTGTAACAAAAGACATTTAATACAAAAGGTAAAAGAAAGATAAATGATAAAATTACAATGCAAATAAGTCAAGACGGTGCTACTACTTAACACGTTCCGTCGCTAACTCCGTCAGGAGATTTAATGAATAGTTAAGATTGTAGGATTACGATATTCAATTAATAATAAACACAAATATCATTTCAATGAGTTGCAAGTGACAAATTCACCTAACGCAGGCCTATGGCAATTCAAAGGTAACTATTTGTTAACTCACTAATCATGGTATTATTTCAGAGGTATCATGGTATGCGGTACAAGGTATGTGGTCAAGTTATGCGGTATGCGGAACGGAAATAGTATTACGATCCGCTGACCGATAAACCACTGTATAGCTTACCGCTGATATAGAGATTACCGTTTTTAAACACCGGTCTTTTGCCCTCCTTGTATGCCTGGTCCATGATAATTTTGAGACTCCTTTTCTTTATCACGTCCGCCTGTGGTAGATCTTTGGTAACAAACATATCCGACGATCGTAGAACTGATTTTGCACGTATTAGTACCTCTCGTCTTTGCGGCCGATGAATAAATTTAGCGATTATGTGTCGATTATTTTCCCATCGCCTGTCTACCAATTCGGTGTGCATTTTCTATTATTGTCGTCGGTAAGTTCAGTTTATGGTTTATTATATCTCATACCGTTTTCATGGGATCCTCATCGTTTTGTTCAGGTATTCCTCCAAATCTCAAATTAAAGGATCTCGAATATCGTTCCATTTTTAGGATTTCCCCTTCAAGTATTGACAGCCGGTTACGATCACTCCTAGTCGATTCCGTCACATTAGTGATTTTGGTTTCAAACTCGTCGATTATCGTTTCAAATGAGTGGATTTTCTCCGTAGTAAAGGTAAGACTATTCTCAATTTCACTGTATTTCAGTTCTATTGAGTTTATCATTTCCAGTATAGCAGTTTGGTTTAGGATTATTTGATCGATTTTAACGTGTAGTTCACCGTCCCGTTTTTGCATCGACTGAAATTCCCGCTTCAACTCGGTCATAGTGGTCATGTGATCATCGGGTGCGGCAGTTTCCGTTTTGTTTTCCGGGGATGTTGGTGGTGATACAGTAGTTACAGGTTTTTTCTTACCCATTTTCAATTTTCTGTCAATTTTAAAGCTTGATGAGCCTTTTAAAGTATTAATTGTAGTTATTCCTTGAGTCAGTTTGAACTATCAGTCATTACGAGGGGAAAAATCGCAGTTTTTTTTTAAATCTCTGACGGAGCTGTTTGAGTCCGTTACCGCTTCATGTAAGCGCCCTCCACAGCACAACAATCAACCAGTAATTCTTCACTGTTCACAAGCACATGAATGGAAGAGTGCGATGATGATAGCAGCATCTCTTCGCGGTTCTCGAACACCAGCCTTATTAGTTCTGCATCCTCAAGAGCTCGAGCTAGGGCAGAAAGGAAGAGAGTGAATTTAGAGTTCATTCGTGCCGAAGTTGACCTGCGCCGAGAGATGGCAGAGAAAGAGGCGGAACAGAAAAGGAAAAATGCAGAATTGCTGTTACTTGAAGCAGAAAAAGGAGTATCGATGACATAGGTGGAAGCGGCCGTTTTGGAGGAATTAGAAAGAAGAGCTGATAATAGATGTTGGGAGCAAGGTCTTGAAGTAGACCTCCTTAAGGAAACTCAAGCACAACGGATCCAACGGTTTCAGGTCAAGGTGGACAATACTTACAGCAGCCGACCCGTAGAACAAGAAAATATTTACCACAGCCTGCCCCCAGAAACGTGCAGCCAGCAAAAGTATTGGACCCAGAACTTCCAGAAGAACTAGCTGGGAGTATCAGATGTTCCACGATACCATATTTAAGGCCAAGTGAACCACTCAGTGATATGCAGAATCCAAAAGTTCACAACTCAAATAGCCTTAATAATATGTCACTCACGACCACGGGGTGGAACCCAGCTCCCAGCTTGGAAAGAACCAATGCTGAATTCCCAGTGACAGTTGAACGGTCGATTGGAAATGCAACTTATGTACTATCAGGAAACACTTATCAAATTTTACCCCAGTCTGCTCCCAGTCACGACAAAAAAGATGGACTTAAGTCTGGTCCGGAATCGGAGATCAAGCCAGAGGGAGGTGTGGACAACAATACACCTAATCCTAAACCAGATATGGACACAGCATCAGAAATTGGGAATGCCTTACTGAAGAAGGAATTAGTAAGCAGTAGCCTAAGAAAATGTGATGACTCTCTGGGGAATTATCGCGCATAGAAATCAGCTTTTATCAATACGACTAAAGAGTTGAAGATGACTGCTGCACACAGGCTGGAATTAATTATGAAATGGTTAGGCCCCAAGTCATTTAAGTTAGCAGGACCTGTATACAATCTACACATCAGCAAGCCAGTGATAGGGCTTGAACGGATCTGGGATCTATTAGACAACAAGTATGGAGCCGCAGAGGCGATTGAAGTAGATTTGCAAAACCGTATTGATAGTTTCCTAGGTTAAACAACTGTGGCACTGAGAAGTTTTTAGAGTTTAGTCACCTACTTCTCGAAATTGAGTATATGAAAGAGGAAGGCGTGTATCCTGGATTGGCCTTTGTAGACTCTGCTAGAGGTCTTAACCCTCTTGTCCAAAAGCTGCCATATAGCCTTCAAGAAAAATGGGTGGCAACTGGGTCTGAGTATAAAAAAGACAAGGGCATGATGTTTACTCCATTTCAGGTTTTTTCAAGGTTTGTCCAAAAACACGCGAGAATTTGGAATGATCGAGTTTTACTAGACCATACCGAAGAGAGACAAAGATAGCTACGCACCAACAAGAATCTATCGTAGTGAGGAAGACTAACGTTAAGAATGGGGAGCGGACTTCTAAAGAAACGTCTTTCAGTGATAAAATATGCCCAATACACAGCAAGCCACATCCTATTCGGGAATGTCGAGTATTCAGAGACATGTCTATGGAGGACAGGAAAAAGTTGTTAAAACGACTTAAAGTATGCTTCCGATGCTGCGCATCCAGCAATCATATCGCTCGCCATTGTAAGACAGATGTGCGGTGTGAGGAGTGTGATAGCAACGGTCATGTGACAGCACTTCACTACGCATCGTCGAAACCATCAACTGCAAACCTGCATGCTGCCAGTGACGACGGCGGGGAGGTCATCACTAACAAATGCAGTGAAGTATGCGGACAGGAAGGAACTCCAAGATCATGTGCGAAAATCTGTTTAGTCGGTGTATCTGAAGGACAACCCGTCTAATGCTATAAAAACCTATGTTCTTCTGGACGATCAGAGTAATGGCTCCTTAGCAAGAAGTACCATATTCACTAAATTGGGCGTGCAGGGAGATGTTAACGCATACACCATCAAAACAGTAACCGGGGAGAAGAAGGTGTTTGCCCGAAAGCTAAATGGTCTGGTTATTGAGTCATTAGAAGGTAAAGTCAAGATGACTGCTCCAAGTCTTCTAGAATGCCAGACTATCCCTGGGAACCTTGCAGAAGTACCAACACCAGAAGTCGCAGAATCATTTCAACACCTTAAGCATATCGCTTCAAAAATGCCACCCCTGGAGGAAAAATCCAGAGATTTCCATTATCCTAGGAAGAGATGCTCCGAAGGCCAATAAAGTAAGGGTACTTCGTAACGGACCAGACAACATGCCATGGGCACAGCGTTTAGATCTTGGTTGGGTAGTGATTGGCGAAGTTTGTGTAAATGGTGTACATAAGAAGAACAGTATATCTACTTGTAGAACGGAGATTTTACCTAATGGAAGACCAAGCAGGTTGTTTGAAGTTTGTAGAAATCATGTTGAAATTCAAGATTCGGAGTTATTCAAAATAATCCCTGATGATGAGAAGACGGCTGTGTCCACGGAAGATTGCGTTGAGATCATGAACAGCAAAATGAAGAAAGGTGAAAATGGGAATTGGGAGGCACCACTGTCTTTCAAAGAAGGTCGCAATATACAGTACTACCGAATAACAAACCTGAAGCCCGTAAATGACTGCAGTCACTAATACATAGCTTTAAAAAGCGGCCCAAGATGAAGCAGGATTATTTTGAGTTCATGGGGAAGATTATGGAGCGAGGACATGCCGAAGCAGTAAACGATAGTAAAGAAGAGAGGCAGTTAGAGTGTTGGTATCTTCCACACTTTGGAATTTATCACTAAAAAAAGCCGGAGAAAATATGGGTTGTTTTCGACTCGAGTGCGGAAAGTAAAGGTATCTCATTGAATGATGTTCTCCTGAGTAGACCTGACCTGGTCAACAATTTACACGGGGTTCTTGTGAGGTTTCGGGAAGATGTCGTTCCCATCATGGCAGACATGATGTTTACTCGTTTAAAGTCAGTGAGAACCACAGAGACCTTCTAAGGTTCTTATGGTACAGGAATAACGACCCTGCTGAAGACGTTGTGACCTACCGAATGAAAGTCCACATTTTTGGAAAGAAGCCATCCCCATGGCCGTGGCCACATTTGGGTTGCGTAAGACAGCGGAGCAAGGCGGGTCACAATTTGAAGAAGACGCTAGTTTTGTTGATGCAAACTTTTATGTTGATGATGGTCTCAAGTCGGTTGGATCACCAAGTCAAGCGATACTAGATTTGTTACGCTGAACAAAAGCCATGCTCGCAACTGCCAACATCAGGCTTCACAAGATTGTCTCTAGTAGCAAAGAAGTCCTTGAGGCCTTTGATCAAGACGATATAGTCCCGGATCTTAGAGAATGGGACCCAGATAACAATGCAGCACTTCAGCAGTCATTAGGTGTGTATTGGAATGTATTCACAGACTCGTTTACTTTTAAGGTATCAGACACTATGGACCGGCCTAACACCAAGAGAAGATTGCTATCAGAAATAAACAGTGTGTTTGACCCGTTGCAGTTTGCCGCACCGGTGACAATAGAAGGCAAAGCATTGTTGAGAGAGATGACACAAGGTGACGATATTGGTTGGGACGATCCTCTGTCTCAGGATATCTTATCTAGATGGAAAAAATCTAGAGAGTCGCTAAGTTCACTTTCCAATCTAAGTGTAGCCAGGCCATATACGTTAATGCCAGCCATCGGGGCAACAAGACGAGAGTTGCATGTCTTTTCAGACGCATCAAATAAAGCTGTAGGAGCAGTGTGCTACTTAAGAACAAGCTATGAAGAAGGTAAAATTTATAGGAGCTTTGTGGCGGGCAAAGCATAATTAGCACCAAAATCAGCTACATCCGTTCCTCGTCTTGAATTATGCAGTACTGTTCTTGCAGTCGATCTAGCTGCAGCGGTCCTGGATGAACTCAGTCTTGCCGTACATGAAACTTACTACTACACCGACAGTAAGGTAGTCTTGGGCTATATACGCAATGAAGGACGAAGGTTCTATACGTATGTTGCCAACCGAGTGGCCAGAATTTTGCAATTCACTACAGCCAAACAATGGAATTACGTTCGGACTGATTTAAATCCTGCCGATGAAGCAACAAGATCGGTAAGAGTTTCGGATTTACATCGTTCTCGTTGGCTGATGGGGGCCTCCACATCTAGATCAGGAAGGAATTGTCAGGGTAGGAGGTCGGCTTGCCAATGCAGATATTGTGGATAAACATATGCACCCAATCATCTTGCCTAAAAACTACCATGTTACTGACACCATAATACAATACTGTCATCAGCTATGCCGACACCAAGGTAGGCACTTTACTTTAGGCCCCGTACGAAATGAAGGGTACTGGGTCATAGGTGGCAGACGCTACATTTCTAAGATTGTACTGCAGTGTGTCATCTGCAAAAAGCTCAGAGGCAGGTTCGAAACCCAGGTCATGGCAGGCCTCCCAAAGGAACGGTTGACGGCAGCACCCCCGTTTACGTTTGTTGGAGCTGATGTTTTCGGTCCGTGGCTAGCACAAACTCGTCGCACACGTGGGGGCCAAGCACATAGTAAAAGATGAGCAGTGATATTTACTTGCATGGTTGTTAGAGGAGTTCACATAGAGGTATTGGAATCCATGGATAGTAGCTGTCTTATCAATGCCTTAAGACGGTTTTTTGCTATCAGAGGCCCAGCAAAACAAATAAGGTCCGACTGTGGTAGTAACTTCATTGGAGCATGCAATGAGATCGGAAAGCAGCTTTCTGCTAGGGAGATCGACTGTGTCAAGCGATATCTTCTGAGACACGGATGTGAATGGGTTTTCAACCCACCGCCCGCGTCACACATGGGTGGCGCCTGGGAGAGAATGATCGGCATTGCAAGACGTATACTTGATGCCACCTTAAAAGATGTGAAGCCAAGTCAATTATCTGCTGAGGTGCTGACAACCCTATTGACAGAAGTCACAGCTATCATAAATGCAAGACCAATGCTTCCCGACTGCAACCTGCCAGAATTACCCATGAATCTGTCGCCCAATATGCTTCTTACTATGAAACACTCACCTGTGAAAGCTCCTAAAGGACCATTTACTCATAATGAAGTGCTCCGAGGTCAATGGCGTCGAGTCCAGTACCTCGCTGATGTGTTTTGGTTGATATGGCGTAGGGAGTACATACCTTTAATGCAAGAGCGGAAAAAGTGGCAGAGTCCACAGCGTAATATGAGCAAAGGTGATGTGGTCCTTATAAAACAGCTGGACAACCATAAGAATGCCTGGTCGTTGGGCCATTGTGGAAGTTGAACCCAGCAGTGATGGTTACGTTAGAAAAACAGTTGTGGAGTTTATGCAGAACGGGGTTAAGAAAAGATGTTCAAGACCCATAAATGAACTGGTTTTGGTGATGTCATGTGACTAATTTAACATTTAAGTTTTAGATGACGTATTAAACGTCAGACGGGGAGTGTTTTGGCCCTTTGGGCTATCCATATGTGTAACTTGTGATGCACGGGTTAGAGTAGACGACCGATACTTGCAAAGAAGGTTGTTGTACCTGTACTGTAAGTTCGATTAATGTTAGTTAATTATAAATCGTTTATTTTAAGAATTTTATAATAATAATAATAAATAATAGTTGGATTTGTAGAGCGCATCATGCGAAAAAGCATTTTTAGGCTGTGGAGTATAACTATAGCTATTAAACATTGATAGCATCTTGATGCGGATTAGCAGATGATGAAATCTGTGATCTAGATACTCAAGCAGCCTAGTTTATTGTTTGCTAGTGGGCCTAGAACTTCTCAGGAATTTGGTCTTAGGTCGAAATCAAGCTTATTGACGTCTAATTGATATGGTTAATGATCACACTTATAGAATGTTGAAAGTAGACATTTAACGATATGTTCAGTTTTTTAACGGTTTATATCAGTTCTGTATAAATCACTAAGTATAACAGTATTGTAGGTTGATATAGGCTTACGCCATGTAATTAATTAGCCATTGTAGTTTGGGCTAAGCCATGCTGGCCGGTGCTCGTTCCGCTTGAGTAGCTCGGGTATATAGACGACGTTTAGGTTGCCGTGTGGCTTCTATGCACGGGAATTGATTTATTTGTTATTGGTGTTATGCTAAATTTTGAATATACTCTATACTGTATTATAAACTTTGTTGGTTCTTTTTATGACAGGGATACATCCACTATAAGTTGATAGTGTTACATCCATGTGGGATTGCATTTTAGTTTGCTGAGTGAAGACTTGCGGTGTCCGTAAGCGATTTTTTCCCGTATGAAACATTTACATAAAACTCCACTCGGGCCGTCTCGACTGAATCGACTCGGGCCGAAAAGGTCAAACAGCTTAACGTACAAAATGCAAAACAACTTCTGAGAGAACGTCGCTGTCTGATTTAAAAAAAAATATGTTACCATGCTAATACTAATGGGTAGTTTAAAATGACATATAATGTGAGCTGCACGAATAATGGAAAGTGTTATTTGAACTTGAGTTAAATACTCTGACAATTTTATTTATTTTTTTTAAAGTTAGATCTGGGTTTTGCATATTTACCTAGGCCTACTAACTACTAAAAATATATGCTTTCAGGGGAAAGCACAAAGAGGAAGGAATAGCGCGTTTCTTTATCAAATGAAACAGGGTGACAGTTATTTTCAAATTATGAGAATAGTTGAGAATAGGCAGCTCTAAATACTGAATGCCAAAGACCTGCCAAAATGGCAGAGCACCAATGAATGTATAAATGAGGCCTAAGCCTAGTTATATGGTAAATAGTATCTACAGGTTCTTGATTACAAGGCTAGACCAAGTTAATTAATGCCGAAATGATTATTATTTATTATTATTAGGCCTATTATTATTCATTATTATTATTAATTATTATGTTAATAAAACCTACCTTAGGAACTTAGACAATGGAGAAATTAGGGAACATTTAAAAAAAACGACGTTTTAGGGGAAATAGCACAAAAGATATTCCATTGGGCTAGTTATTAATTATAGGCCTAGTAAATAGGTTATTGATTACAAGGCTTAGGCCAAGGTAATAAGGCGGAAAGGATTAATTATTGTTATTATTTAACATTAATTACATTACAAGGATAGTTTGGCCAAGTTCAATAACGCCGGAATTGTATATTTTATTTATTACGGTATTATTTAATAATATTTCTCTTATGCATTCTATTTTTTATTTCATGCTTCAATTTTTTCCCCTTTTAAAAAAAATTCAATCAACGTCATGTGAAGCGTGACTGTTGGTGTCAGCCTAGAGACTTAGTTAGGCCTAGTTTAGGGAGGGCGCCTATGGTAGGTAGGACTTAACTCAGCCTGCTTTAGGCCTGTAGTTTATTTTCTTTCTGTCAGCCTTTGGTGTACGTCCTATCTACACTTTATAAAGGGGGGTACTAGCTGTTGTTGTAAATATTATACTAACATTTAATAACATACATACAAGAAGGTCACAGTTAGTTACACACGTACATCCCATAAATCCGTAAGATTTCATAGGCCTACAGTAGGTAAACATAGAAAGAGCCATAAAAATAAAACTCGAGCGTCACCACATTGCGAAGTGTCTGCTCTTGTTCCTTCTTTTATTCACAGTTTTACTCGACGGTCACAGAAGGAGAAATAAATTACACGTACAACCGTCAACGTGTGTTTGTTGTATTTGTGTGCTGAAGAGTTCACATACTGGATAGGGGGCGCTCATTCCCTCGAGGCCAGTACACGCATATCCCCTTCACCCTCAAGTACAAGCCCCCTTCAAAGTGAACTTAACACAGGAACAAGAAGACTATAATAAGTCCATGAGTCAGGTTAGGGTGTCGGTAGAATGGTTATTCCGTGACATTGTAGAGAATTGGAAATTTATAGACTTTAAGAAAACTTAAAAAAATGGAGTGAGTGCCATCGGAAAAAATTATATAGTGTGCGTCCTTTTGACAAATGCCCACACCTCTCTGTATGGCAATACCACATTAAAATCTTTCAATTTGGATCCTCCTTCCCTTGAAGAATATTTTCTGTGAATTCAATTCAGTCAGCACATGTAATTGAATGCGTATAGTATTGGACTATCAAATGTTAATTATCCTGGTGTAACAGAGAATTTACTATGGACTATGTGTTACCGTACCCTTCATCTCTGATGTACAAAGCAAACATTTTGACGGCCATTTACTGTACTTGTACTTGTTGCGAATGTTCTATGATACATGATAATATCAACGGAAACTTATGAAGGGCAGAGAACACTGCAGCATTACTGTATAACATTCCTAGTGCAGTTCGTTTTCCAATGATTCTTGGAGAGTAGGTGATTAAGCGAATTGCTTATGGGTTGTTAAATGGATATGCCACGTAGGACAGTGATTAAGTTCACTTATTGGCATATCCTTGGACCCTCGTGCCTAAAGAAATGAAATGAAATGAAATGTATTATAATACAGTACAACTATTGTTCACTATAACATTTCTCATTTAAAAATTCAGACACAAGTTTGAATGGTACAAATGTATTCAAATCAAGTTGATGTATATGTAATTTATTTTAAATACCCAACACATGTATGCATATACAATTATTATACTTCTTTATAATATTTGGTAATCAATAACTGTTTGCTCTGCTTTAAAGTTTATATTGCACATAAGAGAAAATGACAACACTGATAATTATATACACACCAGGCTGTAGCTATTCATTTATAGAATGAAGGTATAGCAATACTTTATGCAATATATACCAAGTTTGCCGTTTTCTTAATTTGGTGTGTGGCAGCACAATGTACGCCTTTTACTATTTCTTCATTTTGCAAAAAACCACCGCCACCGCCACCGCCACCGCCACCGCCACCGCCACCGCCGCCGCCGCCGCCGCCGCCGCCGCCGCCGCCGCCCAGGCTTAACTTGGGCTAAAAATAAAACAGTAAAAATATGGGAAATTTGAATCATAATTATGAAAATATTGTTTTTAATTTTTAAACCACAGAATCACTCAATTTCAACAATAAATATAAGTATATACATATCTTTTGAAGGAAATTGACAAGTCATTCTTGTTTTGTTTACTTTTCGTTCACTGTGGACGGTAAAATATCAAAACGACGATTCAAATAGTTCACGCGTGCGCAGTATCACTAGTGGGCGGGGCTTAGTTGTAACAACCGTCCTGTTTCGTAAATACTCTACTATCGTGGATCAGACACGAA